CATTTGTCCATTGAATGAAATCTCATGCTGAATGCAAGTATGCTAATAAAGTAGCTATATGTAAATAATATGACTGACAGAAGAGATACAAACAGAAGAGATCAAACTTGCACTGTTTATTCAACACTAACAAGAGCCAAAGATTTTTTGTTTCACAAAAGGACATTTTTCAATTCTGTCCTATGAGAAAACATTAAATATAAGAAAACAAGTGCTATTACTTAATAATTGCATTGTTAGCCATTTTAATATCTAGGAGAAAAAAAATGCATGTCTTTACAGAATACTGTAAATTGTAAATAAGTCAAATTCCTTGACTTCCAATAAGATGGCTCATGTAGTTCAATGAAATGGTGCTCAGAGAAGTTTTCAACTAAGTTAGTTAATATTTCAGAGTTTATTTCTTAAATAAAGGTTTCTTTTTATTCTTGTCTTAGAATTAAGACAATTGTTACTTAACAAGTAATAGCACGTACTGTTAATACAGTGAAAGGTTCTAGGTTTACCAGTAGTTTGTAGAATCACTTAGGGATCAAAAAGTAATAAAAGAACAAATAAAAATGATTTTTAGAAGAAAAGTGTAAGAAAAAGAAAATTGACAAGCAGTCAAACAATTCTTTGTACTCAAGAGTTTGGGTTTTTTAAGCAGGTAACTAAGTTGCTCTGTGGCTGTCACAGCCTTTCCACATAATCATTTTATGTTAAAGAATAAGAAGCACTTTATGCAGACATTACCAAAATTGCTGTATCAATCAAAATTCCCCACTTCAGGATCTCAACTCAGGGTGTAGTAAAGAAATTCATTACAATATATTGTTACCTGTTACGCTAAACTGAGAGACAGTTCAACAAAGATGCTGAGACGTTTTGGCAAAGCTTTTAGCAATTTAAGGTACCGTCCCTGACCACATAGACTTCTATGTGAGAAGGGATTTTGTAACAAAAAACCCTCAAAACTCATGTATTATATCATGAACAAAGGCATATTCTCACATTTGAAAATCTTCCAAGATTTAGAAACTTTACCTGATAGCATATTACTGAAAAAATTATTAGTAAAAAATAAATCTGAGCACAACTAACGTACAATATATCTCCAGATTTTTTAAGACTGAAAGGCTATCTTTTGAACTTCCATGTACTAACAATGACAGCAGCAAAAAGAACCTTAAAGAAAGTCATATAGCTGCTTTTCACATGATACTATGCTATTTCCTTACTCCACTAAAAAAAAAAAAAAAAAAAATTCATCAAAAGGTCAAATGTTTAAAAGTGTTTTAAAAAGCCACCTACCCAACTACAGTGATACATGTCGTAATTTTTTCTTTTTGTGTAATTGCTGGCTAAAAAAAACCCCTCAGTACAGCTTAAAGTCATTTGAGCACTTTGACATGAAATTGGGGAGATAAAAGTTAAAAATCTAGAAGTCAGTTTGAGTAAAAATAATCAGTAGCATGCTTTTGAAGCCTCAGGATGCAACTGGCCAACAAATTACTTGTTCAACAAGAAAGAACAGAAGGCATGAAAATTCACGAAGTTAAACTCTCAAGAATGGTGAAAGCTTGGCTTAATATCCAAAATTACCTTTTGTAGATATTGTTTCAAATGTTTGAAACAATTCAACTTTTCAGAAGAGCTGCATAATTTGTCAGGAATTTAAAAAACATTAAACTTAACCTTTTTGACAGATGTCAGATCTCATGAATATCTAATATTCAGCAATAAACTCTCAACTCTGATCTACTGAGTGTACTTACTTGAACAAAGTGATTCACATCTTGAGTTCTTGTGATCGGTATATGCACCTTACATGTCAGAAAAACAGTTTCCCAGCCTCACATACCAAATGCTGAGAGATCAATTTGTCAGGCATAAGAATACAATAGTACACCTACCACATAAAAATTTAAGTCTGTGAGCTTTAGGAAAAGGTACAAGAGTATTTTCAAGTTCATTAAAAGGCAAACTGCAGGTTTCCATGGAACTTTAAAAACACAGCAATTCCTAGTTAATTTATGTAGAAAAATTCTGACTCCTAGAAATTTTTCTTGTACAGCCTTCCACAAGGCAAGCCTTAGAGAGCTGGGAAGGATTCTTTTTTTTAACTGTTTGGTTTGCCTCCAATATTGCTGTATAATGAGAGTTTCTGCAGAACAATAAGGGTTTAATATATTGTGATAGAAGTTTCAGTACCTTAGAAGTCTGTTATTCCAGCAGAGGAGCTAGTCTCCTTATTCCCTAGTCTGACAGGAATAGCCTATGCCAGGAAAATGAAAATTCAATGTCATTTACTGAGTCTTCAACAGAGCTCTCTCATAATACAATTTAGTACATCATGAGCATAACCTACAATTTAACTTTGATGAAATGCAGGTTAAAGTCCACCACTAAAATTAAGTCTTTAAATAGAGTACAAAATTATCAAGGGCTGAAACTGCAAAGAAAGTTGAAGTCATGTTCTCTCTAATTAGATATGTTTACTAGTTCACTACTGGTCTATAGCTGCAAAGAGAAAGAATAAACCCATTGGAAACAATGCCTTACAGACAACAATCTGACCACAGGTCTTTTAAAGATGTACAAACACCCCAACTGTTTTAGTTTTCTGTTAGTTTTGCTTCATTTTAAATCCTTAGCAATATCAGGTCTGACATGTCAGGAAGTCTTTAGTAATTGTTGATTTTGAGCTTAGTTGCAATGCAAACTATGAAGAGTTTGTCCCTCCCTGGGTGTGTAACACAGGAAAACTTGTGGTGATGTTACTCTCATAAACCTTACATAGGAAGGACAAAGAAAATGAAACATATTTTTACCTTATGTACAGCAAACTTATGTTAACAATGCATAGGAATGGCCCAAAACTTATCTTACAATGATTTTAAACACGCTTTATTATCTATTACTTGAGAATTGTATAATCCACCTAATTTCTCTTCTAAAATAAATTAGTATTCTAGACCCAAAGCATATGACACTAAAACATACCAGAATTGCTAGAGGTATCCAAAGACCTATCAATATCCCAACAAGCTTCAAATTGGGGGTTTAGAAGAAATTGTGGTGACTAGATAGATGTTTCACTACTTTTTCTGAGGAAATACACCATTAAAAAAATCATGCAGAATTTTTACAAAAGAATTTTTAACACTGTTTTAAGTGTAACGTTCAGTAAAAAGTTTCTTTACTCCTTCAGAATTTTTAGTTGCAACTTCTCTTTATCCACTTGGTTAAATCAGCTGATTAACTTTGATAAATACAATTTTTTTTACAAATATGGTAAGACACTGAAAATTTCTTCAATATATTATTATGAACAAAATAATTTCCAATGGAAAAACGAACAAAAAAAAAATCAACCCTTTAATTACCCAGCAAAACCATTCCTTTTATTCTCTTGACAGCTAGCCATTTCTCTGTGGGGAGACTTCAATATCCCCAGTGATTTCAGTGACCAAGAAATTCAGGCGAATCTTTGTCTTCAGCAGAAATAGTCTACTGGGCACAAAATAACAGTTACTAAAACTGCTTAAGTCTGAACATTTCTGAGCCAAAGTCTAGCTGAATGGAACCGACAGAACAGTATTCAAGAGTGATTTCTACCCTAGTCCTTAATTTGGAACACAACACAGGCTAACCTTTGAAAATAAGAGTTCACAGGTTTCATTTCTGGAGAGAAAAAGGAGTAATGACTTTTGGTAAATACATCTGGATTGTTACAGGGGTTACATCCTATTTCAAGTATGTGAAGATAGTAAGTGAGACTCGGATGCAGACTTCCTCTTTCGGAAGAGTTGTTATTTGCAACAAGGTTTTCCAGTGGTTACATCCACTGCTGTGTCATCAGTGCTACTGCTAACACTGTCTTCCACAAACTCAGAATTGTTAGCAACAAATCCCTGAACATGCAGAACAAACTTAGGACTAAGGAGGATGCATTTAAAGCTGAAACAGATTTTACTTGTGTTCTTAATTAAGATATTCTTTTGATAGAACAGAACAGAGGAAAGGAGTCAGAAGAACCCAACCAAAGGTATGCGTTAGGGAGAGAATTAATTTCACATGGTCCTATGAGACAAGGATAACCAAGTATGAATGTTTTAGAAGAACTGTATTAATCTCTTTGATGCATGACCTGCATTTTTAGTCATCTTCATGTTAATCAGTTAATATGACTATCCAATTTTAGAGTATTTTGGGCAAGAGAAAGACATAGAGAATTGTTTTACTTTTTATAAAATTGTTCATTTAATATTTAATAGGAGATATGGGTATTAGATATTAAATTTCATTACTTTTGTCTGGAAAATCATTTGTATTTCAATTTAGGATGAAAACCTAATCTTTCTTTTTTTTTTTTTCTTTAATGAATTTTACATTAGTCTTAAAAGTGAATCTTGCATTAAGAACTTTTTCTAACATGGTCATATCAACAGAACTAGTAACTTCCATCATCCGTTTCTGTACTGCAGTATTCAATAAGCTACATGGTAAATCAATACAAAAATGAAACACGGTTTGTCAACCACAAAATGGTATGAAAGCACAGAAAAAGCTAGATTTCAGCATGTCCTCATTTTGAAGCTCAACTGACAAAACAGCAATGCCTGTAATTATGTGCTGTAACTGATACAATACCTGAAACCTATTGTCTGTGATGCTTTCAACTTCATCACCATCAGTTACAACCTTAAGGAGCTTGTTTATTTATATTAAAACCTTCATTTTGATATCAGAGTATAAATGTGTACCCTTGTTAAGAAAAGTATTTTTAATTATCTGAATTGCTTTAAATATGCTTTGAAGTTGAATGAACAAATTTGTATTTTAACCACAGAAGCCTAAAAATTAAATTTTTCATTTTTTTCTTTTTAAAGCAAAAAATCAGACTTTTCTTTTGCACTACCAGGGAAAGAATAACTAATAAGCACAGAAACTATTTACAGCTTCAAATGGTATGTTACAATTATGATTCCATGAAATTTCTGCAGTACAAACTTTACCTCAATCAATTTTCTTTCATAAGAGCTGGCCAGTTCCTCATTGTTTTCTACTTGCTTTTGCTCTGGCATAGTAAATTCACCATCAGTGCTCCAAATGTTTGGCAGAACTAAAACAAAGGCATACCTCAAATTAAAATGTTAAATTACATAAACATCTAAGACAACCCGTTTAGAAGTAATAGCTCTAATAGAAACATTTACTGGAAGTATCAAAACAGGATGCAATATTAAACAGTATTACAAGTACTGAAATACAAATGCTGCAGGGAGCTTTCTTATGAGCAATATGTAGAGAGGTACTCTCAACAGAAACAAATGCAAACTAAAAGCATTTGGCTGTTCTGTGACTACAGCTATCTAACATATGCAGGTAGTAACTGCAATTGCTACCCAAAGCCTTTCAAAGCTTAGCCTATGCTTCTCTTCTAAGTGTTTTTTCTACTTCTCTTCCAAAATATAATTGCATATTATTTACACAGGCTACTTACATATCATTAAAAATACAGAAAATATGGCTGAGAATGGACATTCCATACTTCATCTAGTATTTCATGTTTCTGCATAAAGCAGAATCAGCTGCAGTTACTTCATTCCTGACAGTTAATTGTCTAATTTATACCTAGAAACCTCCAATAATGGAGGTTTCATGCTTCCCCGCACAATCTATTTAAATTTAAGTATTCTTCTCAAGAAAGGTTTTCTTGATAGCTAATCAAGCTTCCTTCTCCTGCCGTTTAAGCCCATTACTTCTTTTCTTATCCGCAGTGAATGAAAAATAAAGTTTATTCTATTCCTGTTCCTAGCTATCATTTATGTATTTGATGATTACTTTAAGGCCTATTCTAAGTAAATCCCCTCTTCTCCAAGTTGCACAAAGTCCAATTCCACTTTTCCTCACAGATCATGAATTTCTAAAAAAACAAGTTAGCACATATAAAGTAAACAAGCCCTAAAAAAAGAGAAGTTTAACAAATGCTTTCACTATTCTTCAAATTATATATACAACCACTATATAGTAGATAGAAGACACCATAATTCATCTGACTAAATACTCTTGAGTCTGGGAACTGATTTTTGCTTTGAGGAAGAATATATAAATTCAGAACTTTATTATTATTTTAAGTGAATTTTGAAAGCTATTTTGAGAGCTATTTCTTGTAAATCTTGAAGTTCTTCAGCCAGAAATTACTAAGATCAGCATTTTCATATATATAATATTATTGTACCTAAGCAGGTTTGAAAAGCGTGCACAGACAACTCCTGCTGATGGCTGAGAAATGAGGATGCTCATTTATTAAATATTTAAACACCACTATCAAACTGCTCTATCTACAGAAGTGATCACTCATTTTGAAAGCTGGTATGATATTCTGAACTTGACACAGTTCTGACTCTTGGGCAATTTATTTATAATCACATTTGCTGAGTCTTTTTTTTTGTTTTTTTAAGTCACTGCAAGGCAAAGTATTATGCTGAGTTTCCTTTATTATTTTAGGAAACTATTTAAAAACCATACTCAATAGCATCTGATCTGATTACGGTAGCAAACATGTAGATTCTTCTTTATTTATAGTCATAAAAATAACAGCAGAAGCTCAATTTATTTTGACTCTTTCAAAATAGTTTCGCAGAAAGTCTGACACACAGTGTTCTAAAATCTACAATACATTTAGTTTTAGCCTTTTGTTTTGGTAACATTTGGAAGATTAATCATTGTTGAAATTACTCATTATGATAACATAGGGCAGCAGTGAAATTAGTTCTATGCAACAGTTTATGCCTCCCTGATGAAGACAATTTCCTAACATTACAGCAAAAGAGGATAGCTAGGAGTTTTCCAAGTTTAAATGGATCAGAATTCTACGTCCCTCTCTACATTTAAGGCCAGTTAGAAGTCAAGAACTTTAACCTTTGAGTTTGTAAATTAATATATAAGAAACTAACAAGAATTTTAACTTAAAATGACAAAAGCTGAGAAAACAGTAGTTTCTTCATTCTATTTTCTTCACAAAATTGTCACAATGTCAGAAAAAAGTAGTAAAACGGGTCTTGTAAATATACTCTATAATCCTTTTAAGCATGTAATTAAGAACAAAATGACTGAAGACAAGTTGTTACAGTCACTTCAAGTTATACCACAATTGGAATTTGCCTTAAGTTACAAAATTATATATGTACTGAAAAAGTACAAGTAGCTCTTTCTAATAATTCAAATATTCTTAATTATGAAGGCTCACATCTGAAAAATATGAATACCTACAATAAGAAACTGTATATAAACCATGGGTGCAATAGTTTCTATAAGTCTGGTAAAAGAAACAACGTTTTTATGTTTCATTCTCCTTTTTTGAATTGTATCTAATAGTAGTTCTCAGGGATTATTTACATGCTTAGTACTTTTTTGAGTCAGAGGCCCCAGTACTAGTAAAAATTTCACATAAATCTCCAAAGGCAGCTAAGAAAATGATAAATATTACAGAAAATTACTGTGGAATGATTAAATATCCTTTAAGCATAAAGCATACCTGTATTCATTTTTAGAAATGTTGGTACTGTTCTACCCCCCTTTTTCATCTATAAAATCTGACCATCCTACTCAGTTTCTATTCTTATCACTCACTGATTTGCATAGTTTTAACATGGCAGAATATAGCCTAGGAATATTTTTTTTTCTTTTCCTATAATTACACTCATCATGGAAACTGTCACTATCTAATGAAGGATAATTTCTGCTATTATAAGAAGCTTAAGCGATGGTTTTTGTGAATAATTCTTAATACAAATCACTACCGTCCAGCAAAGTCGGAAGTAAAAAAAAGTGTTCTAACTAACAAAAATCCTTTTAAGGCTGAATGAAGCTTTTAAACTACAGATAAGTATAGTGACTAGCCCTTAAGAGCAGCATTGAAGTGGTATCCGTTCATACCGCCACTTATATGACCACAATATTGACAATAAAAAAAAAAAAAGACAAGATGGTGCCAATTTCTGAAAAGCCACCTTGTCTCTCAAAACACTTGTATTCAATGGAAATACAGAAGATGATTCAGAATCAAGCCTCTAATTCATCCTGTCATGGACACTTCTATCACCACTGACGAAAAACAGGTAACGCTGCCGATAACTTGTTATCTTTCAGATATAAAATCTGCTCATTAGAGTCAGAGCAACTTAGCAAAAAAGTGAAATGTCTGGTCTTTATTAATAGAGAGTCTATTTCAAACAGTCTGCAAATACTGATGTCCAAACAACACTAACAGTATAATCTAGAGGTATTACCTTTTCTCTCCTCAAAATAATTATTCTTATGTTCCAATATCACATTAATTCACAGATTATTTTTTAAATTAAATTTTCATCTGGTAGCTTTGTATGGAAAGTTTTTTATTGAAAAAACTAAGACTCTGTAAAAATAAGTACAAAAATCTAGATCGGTATTTTTGTCAAAAGGAAAAGATATTAAATATGTTATTTTCATTACTGGGAGATATTACTCTACCACACTTGGAAGAGATGAATATGGCTTATTTCTTGCCAACCCTACTTTCATGTAAATGATTTCATCTGTTTTGGTCAAGAGTCAGCAAGGCAACCAAAGACTTCTTGATTGTTTCTACTCAGCACTAATTTGACAGCATGCCATCATATAACATTGTTCGTTTGATATCAATCTGCATCACAAAACTGTTCGCACAACAGCAAATAGCCCAGTCAGAGATGCATAGTCTGTTTCTCCTAGAAACAGAACTGTCATCTTTTCAGATGCTGATATTTTCCAACGGGAGGAGCGCTGATGTCATACTCGGTAACATGCAGAAGCATGAACCATGTCCCCAGCCACAGTAGGACTGTTTTCTGTGGCTAAAGATTTGGTTATGGATTAGGGCTTGCACAGGACTGGGTGGTTGATTACCTACAGAGATCCATTCCAGGATCAATCAGGAAAAAAAAAAAAAAAAAGCAGATTCTTATAAGCCAGAGACATGGCTGTTCACTGGTTATTCTTTCATTGTCAGTTTTTATGCAAGTCCAGGAGTCACTTCCATCATTTGGTTACTACGCCTATGCCTCCAATAAACTGTCTCAATGGTAGCATACAATTTTCTCTTCATTTTATCCTTACCTTCCACTGTTTGACCTTCTCTTCTGAGCATCTGGACCGCACCTACATACTTCTTAAGTTGAACTTTTAGCACCTCATTTTCTCTGTTGATAAAAAGAGCACAATAAACAAATGTTACTGTTTCCTCAAAATAGAGGACAGCCCATTTCAATGGAAACAAACATACTACCTGTAATAATAAGTTTTATCTAAGTTGTGTCATCAAGATGAAAAAAAAATTACTTACACTTTAAATAATGTATCAGCAGCAAAGTACCAGGAAAACTAGTTTTCCAGGGCTACATAAACACATCAGTGAAAGATATTATTTCATAATCAAAACCTTTTCTTTAATTGTTTATAGATTTTCTAGAATATGCTACATTGATGGCAGAAAAATCTAAATCAACAGTCAACTAAAAAAAATAAGGATGGGATACCAAACAAGGAAATTCAGAATGGCCAGTATAAAATTAGATAATCATTTTACTAGTTGTCCAAGTATTTAATGTCAAGCAAATAAGAACTCAGCTTTAGAAACAGACTTTATCATTGTAAGAAAATGCCAGCACTACAGCAACAATATTCAAGAAAAAATTTTTCCAGATACCATTACTAAATGAAATCCATAACAGAAGAAATTAAGTTAATCTCTTTGTTATATTTCAGTGCCTGTGCCCATCTCATTTTTCTTTGGAAAGTACAAGTATTCAAACCAGGTACTATCATAGCTCTACCTAACATTAAGCACTTTAGTTTATATTTGGGGAAAATAAAAAGGATTCTAACCTGTTGAATTTTAAACAAAGCTGACAAATCACATGTCTGAAAATTCAATTATCTGTCTAAGCCCCTTCAGCTAACCAAGTACAACAGAAGTGTTTATACAGAAGAAACATAACTAAAATGTGTTGCAAGACAGTGAATTCAGACAACTTTTACTCTTTAAGAAAATATCAGGGTAGAAATACATAGGCACCACAGGTGTAGCATATAACATCACACAAGAAACTCATAACTGGTTAGAGAGAACATGGTCAGGTCAAAATCATGCCAGAGGAGTGGTACAAGCTCTAGGAATGATGAAACCCTAGATATGTTACAGATTACAGAAAGCTGTAAACAGATTATACATATAAAGTTAGGCATTTTATTTATGGGAATTTATCTAAGAAGTATTCAGAAACACATGCAAATATGTTTGATGGTCCTTATCATACTATATATACATAAATATACATACATACACATGCATATACACACACACAAAATATATATAATATATATACACACAGAGAAAAATAAACTGCTGTTGTGAGCAATGCCATATTTATATATAAAAACCGTAGACTGGTACTATATTCACAGAATCACTAAGGTTGGAAAG